CACAGGGACATCATGAATTGGAGTCTATTCAATGGCCACAAGTTTTGGTTTTAATCTTTACAGAAGTAGACTGCCACATCCTCTGTCCACAAAGACACTGGTGGGTTCTAATTGCCAACCTTTTGACTAGCAGCTGAGCACTTAACCATTAAAACACCAGAGCTTCTTATGAAACTTACTCCTCTTAAAGTTGAAGCTTGCACTAAACTGCACATTCATACTACTTACATTGTTTATGCTAAAGTATTTTAAGATCAAATACAAGCACTGTAATATTGTTCAACAAATCTCACATTTTTTCAGCCCACAAATATTGAGTATGTTAGATACCAGAGTTGTAATAAGATATGGTTTCCATCCTCAGGGAGCTTACAATCTAGTGGGAGGAGCATAATCAGAGTAACGATTATAGGAAAAAATGATAAATGCTAGATTATAGTCACATCCAGGATGTCAATGGGATCCCAAGGAAGAACAGTTACATCATCTGAAGTATTTGTCTGATTTATCTTTTTTAAAAGAGATGATTCAGAGATCTAGGGAAGTATAAAAGGAACTTCACTATAAAATACACATAACAACATTATAACATATAATTTAATATTTTCAAATTACTATGATGGTATTTTAGAATTTTGAAACTATTACGAATAGGATTTCAAAAGTCAATTATTATATTGTTGATGTTTAGAAATGTTCTTCTGTTCAACTAAATACTAAATAATATATTTTATTGTACTGAGGTCAAAGAAGAATGTAAACAGTACAGATCAACTCAAAAGCAAAATGATATATTGTGAATTATCAATTCTATATTAACAAAGAATATTTTTTAAAAAATATTATGAATATGTACATTCTACCTCTACATGAAAACAACAATGTAAAATCATAAGAGTTACATTTAATTAATACACAGACATCTTTAAAAATTTACATGTGAATATTTATATTAAAAGGATAGAAGTTTATATTAGGAGCATGCTATCACACTAAGATGTTAAATTCCAGAAGTCCCCT